GTACGAGAACCAATGAATTCTTCTTTATGCTTAGAGTTTTTAGTGTTTGTAGCTTACAACCAAAGTACTATGACTAATATACACTTAACTGTCATTTTGTATTGTTTCATTACATTACCAGATATAGTATCAAGTCAGGGCAAATGAATTGTGGTCAGCTGATAAAAGATACCACCAAACCTTTTCCTGTTTTGTTACAAGGGAAAACAGCTAAAATGGGGGAGGGGCTCCTGTTTTGCTGAGGAGCCTATGTGTAATGGCGCCCTCACCGGGCCAAGAAGTAAGAAGCTAGAGAGAATTTCTCTGCATGATAGAGGGTGAGGGGTTTGGATGTGAGAGGGAGGCTAAAGCAAAGATAATTTTCAAAAATAAGAGGGAGAGTAGAGTGGAGCAGGGAGGTAGGAGGAGCCTGTCAAATCAGAGATTGCTGAGCCCCACCCCCAAAGTTTCTGATTCAGCAGATCTGGACTGGGACACCAGAGTCTGCATATCTCATAAGGTTCCTGGGGATGTTGGTGCTGCTGGGCTAGAGATTACACATTGAGAATCATTGAGTTAAAAGATTGTTGTAGAATTGGATGAAGGCCTCGTGGAGGAGATATTATCCAGTGTTTAGTCTGTGTCTCTGAAGTCCTCACTTCTAGAAAATCTGTCTTGGAGATCATATACACAACCCTGCAACAACAGTGTTCTATGGACAGATACACAAGAAGAATAGGTATGGGAGGGAAAGTTTGACAGAAGATATTTGTACATGGATCTTTTTTTGCATTTTTATGGCAAACACACTTATGAATGTGGTGGAGCACACCGGGCAAAATGAGGAAAACTTTTTAGATACTATCAAACATCTGAAGTTGCTGGTTGTGAGGTTCAGGATCATAATCTCAGGGGACACTTGGTCAATTGGCATAACATAGTTCACAAAGACAATGTTCTACATCCTACTTTGGTGAGTAGAGACTGGGATCTTAAAAACTCATGAGTGGCCATCTAAGGTGCAAATTTTGGTCCCTAAGGAGCTCTGGTAGCGTAGTGGTTACGAATCAGGCTGCGAACCATAAGGTCAGCAGTTCGAAACTACCAGCTGCTCCGCGCGAGAAAGATGAGGCTTTCTACTCCCGTAAGGATTTACACCCTCGGAAACCCTGTACAGGGTCGCTATGGGTCGGAACCGACTCGAAAGCACTTAACAACAACAACAACAACATGTGCAGAAGAAAGAAGAATGATGAAACTTGAAGATGCTTGGAATCAACTAATCCAATGGACCAATGGAATGTGTGAACATGAGTCACTACAACTATAAGAACAGAAGAACTAGATGATGTCTGGTTACCATTTCCACCTGCTCTGAAAGACAGCACATTAGAAGGTCACAGATAGAATGACGGACTATATGGGACAAAACTCAAAAGTTTAAAAGAAGACCAGGCTTGCTAGCCAGAAAGGGACTGGAGGAACCCAAGACTATGGCCTTCAGCTACCCTTTGGATCTGGAATGGAACTTACACTTGTGGCCCACATTTCAACCAAGCGGTGGTTAGGTGTATCAGGGGACAGCAACAGTAGTGAGGTATGCTCACCATGGAATGGTCAACCATCCAAGATCAAAAGGGCAACATTTACCTGGGGACAAGGTTCAGATGGGTTAGGAAGGCAGGTGGAATGGGAATAGGAGGAACTTTACAGAGGAGGTGGTTATATATGGATAACTGTTATTGCATGGAAGGGATTGCAATCATTGAGATGAAACAAAGTGTGGGATTTGTTTAATGTAAAACGGATAGTCTTCTCTGTAAACCTTTACTCAATTCACAATAAAAAGTTTTAAAAAGAGAGAGAGAGGACAGTGCAGGAATGAAAATGTAAGTACAACGACTCCCAATATGGCGCTGGAGGATAAACACTGACCTCTAAACCAAAAGGTCAGTGGTTCAAACCCACCAGTTCCTCCTTGGAAACCCTGTACTGGGTTGCTATGAGTCAGAATCAACTCGACCACACTTAACATAAAAAATGATAACCAATACTGACAAGGCCATCAACAATGTGAAATGGATCGTGCTCATAAAGGACTAGAAGAATGAACCAGAGTAACTTACTGAGCAGTCACCTGGGCCAGGAAAAACCACACCTGCCATCATGGTCATGTCAGTTGGAACCCATTAACAACAACTAGGACCAAAAAAACTCTATCCATCATAGACTTGCCATGTTTTTTCCTGGGTCCCCTGTACATATTCTTGCATATAAAACACTCAGTGTGTATAAGGGGTGGAGCTTCAAAAAGTTCATGGAAAATATCTTAAAAAGATAATGTAATTTTCCCATGAACTTTTTGTAGTTTTCTCATAAATCCTCACTGTTTTAATTGTCTAAAGCTACTTTAACAGAAATACTACAAGTGGATGGCTTTAACAAACAGATTCATGTCCCCTTTTCATATCTGTAGACCCAGCATATCATGGCCATCTCCTTGTGTCTTGGCATCAGTCTTTCCCTGTATCTAGGAGCTTCACAGGGAAAGAACCCTGGCTTTTCTTTCTTGGTGGTAAGTCCTTCCCTCTCTGCTCATATCTCTCTCCTGTTATCTCTTACAAGATAAAACTGTATTGTAACCCACACCCCTGGGAAACTCCCTGAAATCAGATCAGGGTTGTGATGGGATTAAGAGTACTGCAGACCACCCTTAATCCTTTTATTGGTTTATCACATAATTCACATCATAGGGATCATCACTACATAACTGCCAAACCACTGAGATTCACAGCCTAGTCACACTGACAACATATTTCGGGGGACACGATGCCATTCATGACACTCACCCAGAACTGTCCTGCACAGATTTCTTGATCTCATTGCCTGTCATGGGAATATTGACACCAACTTTTGTATCTCAAACCTTTTGAGCTGCTGTTGTCAGTTTGATCCCATATAAATAGTTCTTAAAAGAACATAGTGCTCAAGGCAGACATTTTTTGCTAGTTATGCTAAACTATTGTTTGGTTTTAAGATATCTTCAGGGCACTGTTTACGGTTTGAAGATTATCTCAGGGCAAGAGTTTCAGGGGTTAATCCAGCCTCCATGGCTCCATAAAGTCTGTATTCCATGAGCATTTGACATTCTGTTCTGCATTTTCCTCGGAGGTAGATTTTTGATGTTATCTCCAAATGAAGTTATAGCTATAGCCACAGGGACGTTCTGTTCAAAGAGATGTTCATTGATAACATACTCCAGTTTGGCAGCCTTTTAGGCAAGTTTTCATTTTTAAAGTAACAAAGGAAGGGGTGAAAAATGTAATGTCACATTGGCTAAATGTTTGGCAGTTTCTAATAGAAGTATGCAGATATCTACTTTATGATCCAGCAAGTGTACTCCTCAGTTTTATCCAAGACAAAGGTGAGCTTATGTATATCAAAAATATATATGCCAGAATGATCATCACAGTTTTATTCATAATGTTACTGTTGTTGTTGTTGTTGTTGTTAGGTGCTGGCTCATAGCAACCCTATGCACAACAGAACGAAACAGTCCTTCACCATTCTCATTCTCACAGTCATTGCTATGCTTGAGCCCGTTACAGAAGACACTGTGACAACCCCTCTCATTGAGGGTCTTCCTCTTTGCCACTGACAACCTACTTTATCCAAGGCGTGGTCCCTCCACATAACATGTCCAAAATGCTCTTTAATCCTGGTTATGCTTCTTCCAAGACAAATGTGTCCATTCTTTTGGTGGTTGTTTTTAAGTGCCGTCAAGTCGGTTCCGACCCATAGCGACCCTGAACAGGGTTTCCGAGGCTGTAAATCTTTACGGGAGCACAAAGCCTCCTCTTTCTACCGCAGAGCAGCTGGTAGTTTCGAACTGCTGACCTTGCGGTTCGCAGCCTGATTTGTAACAACTACGCTACCAGAGCTCTTTCTTCCATGGTATATTCAATATTCTTTGCCAATCCAATAATTCAAACATATCAGCGCTTCTTTGGTCTTCTTTATCCATTGTCCAACTTTTGTATCCATCTAAAGCAATTGAAAATACCGTGGATTCTGTCAGATGTACCCTAGTCCTCAAAGTGACATCTTTGCTTTTTAACATTTTAAAGAGGTCTATGACAGCAGATTTGCCCAATGCAATACATCATTTGATTTCTTGACTCTTCCTTGGGCATTGATTGTGCATCCAAATAAAATGAAATCCTTGATAATTTCCATCTTTCTCTGTTTATCATGAGCTTATTTGTTCAATTGTGAGAATTTTTGTTTTCTTTATGTAGAGGTGTAAGCCATACTGAAAGCTGTAGTCGTTAATCTTCAAATTTAAGTGCTTCAAGTCCTCATCCATTACTTTCAGCAAGCAAAGTGAACTACTGATATGCTCACTATCAGGAATCTCAAATGCAGTGTTGAGTGAAAGAAGGCAGAAAAAAAAAAAAAGAGAAAATCCAGTATGATTCAAAGCATATGAAGCCCAACAACAGACAAAACTAATCTACAGTGACAGAAAGAATAGTGACTGTCTGAAGCTGGGGGCGGGGGCGGTTTGCTGTATTTGTTGACCTGGATATTGGTTACACAAGTGTATAAATAATTCAGTTGAACACTTAAGGTTGTGTAGTTTAGTGTACAAAAGTTACACCTCAATAAAATACTCAGTACACAGCCGCACCCACCAAAATCCCGAGAGACTCAGAACCAGCTGTGGCCCCAGCCTTGCCCACTTCTGAAAGGCCACGGCCCAAGGCTTTTGGTTTCCTCCTCCTTCCAGTTCAACTTCCGTGCCTCTCGGACAGCCCAGGCTGCCGTTACCTTTCCGGAAAACGCCGGGCCATCTTTTCCCGGTGGCTCGGTTCCGCCACCGCAGGATCCCGGTCTCACCCGCCATAGGGCGGGACCGTGCGCCCCGTCCCACTGCGCCGCGCCCCGCCCCCGATCCGCCCCTCCTTATCTGGCCCCTCGGCCGATGCCCGAGGAGGCAGCGGGCTAACTGGGGCCGCACCATGTCGCAGGGAGCCGGGCTCATCCGCACCACGTGCAGCAGCAGCAGCAGCAGCAATGCACTCGGACCCGGGGCCGGCGCAGGGCAGTCCAACACCAATCCCGAGGGACTGCTGGACCGCAACTACCCCCGCAGCGTCACGGCCCTGCTGAAAGGGGCGCAGATGGTAAGTGAGGGGCGGGGTAGGGTCGGTGGTCACAAGGAGTTGACCGTATAGAAAAGGGATGTTTAGGAGAGGACGTGCCAGGCTGGACCCAAGGAGTCCCTAGAGCATCACGCCGTGCACGGGTAGGGTGGATGATCTCACCGCCCGAAGTTAAGTTCGAGGAAGGTTTCCTTTCGGAAAGTTGCAATTGCAGCCACTGCTCTGCGGAGCCTCGCCCGCCAACTGACTGAAACCACCGGAAAAGTTCCTTTTTGTCTTCCTTTCTCTTCTCTGGGCCCCGCCGCTTCGAACTCCAGCCGGAGGGTCGAAGAGTTCCGCCGGGCGGTGGCGCTGAGACAGCAAAACCCGACCTTTTCTCCCTGCGCGGCCTCCCCTTTCCTCGGATTTGAGCGCAGCAGGGCTTCCTATCTGTGTGTGTAGCTTCCCGCAGGGATATAGTCCGAGGGTCCTGGTTCTATGGTGGAGAAAAGAAAGGGACCCCTGGCGCGGTCGCCCTTGAATCCTGCGCTTCAAACTTCCAAGGGAAGGCCCAGGCCAGGGGGCGTATTTTGCTCCTGGAGATTAGATAGTTAGTGGGAGAAGGCCTGTTTTGAGGGGCTGGTACTTATTGTGGGACGCCAGAATGGGACTCAAACCTAGAAGCCAGGCAAGCTGTAGGTCTGGCCTCTGCAAGTGTAAGCACAGGCAGGGAAACTTCCACCAGGATTCTCGCTGAAGGCCTGGTATCCACCCTTGCCTTTTCTGCTTTTTCATTTTTTTCTTCTTTGAACATTTTTAATCTAAACATCTTTTCACTTTGGATGAAGAGTCTTGAAAATGGGTTGGGCTGTTGGTGACTACATTCATTGTAATGGAGGAGAGAATGCAGTTGGCGAAAAGGAGTGAGACAGGAATGTGGGGAAGGACGCACATTCCAGACTTAGAACCTGGCGCCTACTAAGGTGGGCTGGACACAGGAGCTGAGCTCCCTGCGACCTGTAACAACACAGCTACTCTGGGTTCTGGGTGTTGGAGAAGGAGGGATAGCTCCAAAAAGTGTCTGTTTTTTTGTTGCTGTAGAGTTGGCTCCGACTTACGGACATGGCCTTATACACAACAGAAGAAAGCATTGCCTGGTTTGTGCCATCTTCGTGCTTACTGTACACTTGAACACCTAGCTGTGTACTTTGAGTGTCTTCTAAACTAGACAGCTCATTTTGTCAACATTGTATCAGACATATTCTGTTGTGATTGATTCACAGAGTTTTCATTGGCTAATGTTCAAAAGTAGATGACCAGTTTCTCATAGTCTGGAAGCTCATTGAAACCTGTCGGCCACGGCAGACCTGCTGAGTATTGAAATACAAGTAGCATAGCTTCCAGCATCATTGGTTGGTTGGTTATTTGCCGTGGAGTCAGTTCCTACTCATAGCGACCCTGTACAGGGTTTCCGAGGCTGTAAATCTTTTCAGGAGCAGAAAACCTCATCTTTCTCCTGCAGAACAGCTAGTAGTTTGGAACTGCTGACCTTGAGGTTCGCAGCCCGATTTGTAACCACTACGCTACCAGAGCTCCAGCATCATAGCAAAGCATAAACCACCACAATATGACAAGCTGACAGATGGTGAAAGAAGGGTGTCCTGATGAACCAAAAATTAGGAAGTAGAGGCACTTTTAGTAACGTTAAAAAAGAAGAAGCCCTACTGCTAAGCAGTGTTGGGTTTGAGCAGGACATTTTTTGGGCCCAGACTAGAAGATTTGATCAGTCAAATAGAGATCAGCCCTCCTCCGCCATCCTGAAAAGATGGGGTGAGAGAGAGAGAGAGGCCTTACCTGAACATTGGAAGACATATCATGAGTCTAAGGATGAGTTTAGTAGGCAAAGATAATGGGGAGAAACAGAACCTCTAACTCTCATTTTAAGTTGTCAAGTAGCCCTGTATAGCTCTTGTGCCAAGCTGTGCATGCCAACAGTGGCAATGTTCAAGAGAAGAGATCAAAATTTTTAGAGAAAATTGTTGTGCCTGGCTGCTTCTGTTGTGTGCCCGTCCTTGAATGCATGCTCAGTAGAGTCATAGATCTTCCTCCGTCTCTGGAGAACACTGCAGCTACAGGCTGGTTTGAGCTGCAACCACCCCCAGTGAATTTGCCTTTTCAGGCAGTCTTAGTATATAGCAGACTGCTTGCCTGTCTGCATGGGTCTCTTGCCTGCCTCCTCCTCATTCTTCTCTTTTTGACTGCAGTGGCTGCTTAGGTATTTGATATTCATTTGTCCTCTTTGTTAGAAAACAAGTAGCAAAGTTCTAGTGTTGGAGAAGGACTGTTGTTGTTAGGTGCCGCCGAGTTGATTTCGATCTTTTTTGACAGTAGGTTTCAGTCTTTATGGTAGCAGATCGCTAGGTGGGTTCAAACTGCCAATCTTTCGGCCAGCAGCCAAGTGCTTACCTCCTTTGGGGTAGAGCTTGTTAAGTGCCATCAAGTCGTTTCTGACTCACAGTGACCCTGTATAGTGTTTTTGAAGAGCGGCTGGTGGATTTGAACCCCCCACCCTTGTGGTTAGTAGTTCAATGCATATCCTACCATAGCAGGACTCCAAAAGAAGCTAAAAAGGTGTCATTTAGACTATCTATTTATGGGTCTCTCATTTTGATCATTGATGTCACAATCACGTATTGAACAGGCTGAGCCTGTTTGTCCTTGATTTCCCATAAAGTGTTTTCATAGTCTGACAAACAGACCTGTTCATATACGACCTGAAGAAATCAAAAAGGGTGTTCTTTTGGAGAAGTGCTTTCCCTGCTTTGGGCCTCCTTCCTGGGTCTTCTACTACTATAAGAAACTGCGGAAAGAGGAACAAAGTGGGTATCCAAGAAAACATTAGTAATTGAAATATCATTGTAATGAATCCTTAGGATTCTGTAGCCACCATGGTATAGTTTCTTTGTTGTTGTTGTTGTTAAGTGCTATCGAGTTGGTTCTGACCCATAGCGACCCTGTATAGGGTTTCCAAAGAGCAGCTGGTAAGCTTGAACCACTGACCTTGCAGTTCAAATGGCTTTGAAGTCTGATGCATTAACCACAGCACCACACCAGGACTCCATAGTTTCATTACTTGTCCCATTGCACTAGAAAAGCAATCTCAGTTCTTGACTTGTCTTTTTTTTTTTTTTAATTATGTATTTTTTGGATCCTTACTGTTATTCTTGATAATATGCTTAAAATTATAAACAATATGCCATGTATGTGCCATCGCCTTAAATATTTTTAAGACTCCAGTGAAGTGGCGTGTTTGTCAGCTAAGGAACTGTTTGACAGTAGGTTGAGAAGTTTACCGAGGCAGCACACAGCTATCAGAAACAGACTCCAGGCTCAACTGACCTTGTATTCTCAGAAAGCCCAGCAGAGTTGTTGCTTGGTAACAGATTTAAACCAAAACCCACTGTTATCGAATCCATCCTAATTCATAGCAACTTTACAGGACAGAGTAGAAGTGCACCATACAATTTCCCAGGTGTAAATCTTTAAGGAAGTAGCCTGCCACATTGTTTTCCCACAGAGCAGCTGGTAGGTTCAAACCACCAACCTTTTGGTTTGTAGTCCAGCACCCCCGGACTCCTTGTTAATAGATTTAGGGAACTCAAAACCACAATGAGGTAGCACTTCATGCCTACAAAGGTGGTTAAGGTAAAAAGACAGATAACAAGGTTGTGAGGATGTAGAGAAATTGGACCCCTGGTGCACTGCTGATAGGAATGTAAAGCATTTTGGAAAGCAGTCTGGCAGTTCCATGAAAAATTAAATTTAGAGTTACTGCTAACCATTTGTCATCCCATCAATTCCAACTCCATGTATGTCAGAGTAAAACGGTGCTCCGCTGTTTTCAATGACTGATTGTTCAGAAGTAGATTACCAGTCATTCCTAGGAGTCTCGGGGTAGACTCCAACCTCAAACCTTCTGGTTGGCAGTGTGTATGTACATTAACCATTTTCATCACCCAGGGAATTCCAGAGGTACCATTTTAAAAAAAAGAAAAAGAAAAAATGCTGCTGTCCAATCAATTCGAACTCATACCAACCCCATAGGACAGAGTATAACTGTGCCATGGGGTAGCGTGGTGGTTACAAGATCAACTGCTAACCTCAAGGTCAGCTGTTCAAACTACCAGCCGTTCTACAGTACACAGATGAGGTTTTCTCTTCCTGCAAAGATTTACAGCCTCGGAAACTCTATAGAGGGTCTCTACAAGTCGGAACCTACTCCCCAGCACACCACTACCATCACCACTTACTGGGGGAGCACCTGGACTGCAACATCATTGGTTTGAGCACTACAACTGATCCAAGGGAGAAAAATAACCAACCACTTAAACACTGCATCACCCAGACTCTTTAAAATTATCGAACAATCCAGAAATTCTATTTCCAGGTATATACCCAATAAAACTGAAAATATATTTTCACATAAAAACTTGTTCACGAATGTTCATAGCATTCATAATAGTTCAAAGTAGAAACAGCCCAAATGTCTATCAACTGATAAATGGGTACACAAAATATGGTGTTATCTATTCAATGGAATATTATCCAGCAATAAAGAAAAAGTACTTTTTTTTATTCAGCAAAAAAAATTAAATGACATATTTGCATGTGCTACAACATACAGAAACCTTGAAAACACTGTGCTAAATGAAAGAAGCCAATCACAGAAAACACATGTATCACTCCATTTAGAAGAAATGTTCAAAATTGGCACATTCACAGACACTAAGTAGGTAAGTGGTTGTCTAGGGCTAGAGAGGTTGGGGAAATAAGTGACTGCTAATGGTCATGGTAAGGAGCTCTGGTAGCGTAGTGGTTACGAATCGGGCTGCGAACCTTAAGGTCAGCAGTTCGAAACTACCAGCCGCTCCGCGGGAGAAAGATGAGGCTTTCTACTCCCGTAAAGATTTACACCCTTGGAAACCCTGTACTGGGTCGCTATGGGTCGGAACCGACTCAATGGCACTTAACAACAACAACAA